GAATGAACCAGAGTGTGTGACGAACGCTGAGAGAGAACTGCAGACGCCACAAGAAGCTGTGGAGGAAAAAGTAGCTTCTGGGACTGACACTGCAGTGAAAAATATTGGCTCCAGCCCTATAAAAGAACCTAAGGCACTTGAAGGAGCAGCGGAGGAAAAGGCAACTTCAGAGAGTCGAATGGCAACGCATGCTGCATTTGTCAGTGCCACTGAAAAAGAAAGCAAAGCACAGGAAGAAGCTTCTGAGATAAAGCTGACTTCCCCACATGAGAGTGTAACGGAAGCAGAGGTTTCAGGGAATGCTGAAAAGAAAACCGAGGTAGAAAAAGAAATGATGGGAAAATTATCTCAGCATGAAAATGCAGTAGGAACAGGGTTTGAAGAGGATGGTAAAAAAGAAAGCAGGGAGCGAGGAGTGAGTACAGAGAAAAGAGTTGTTTCCCAGCGTGGAAGCACAGGGAAAGGAGAGTTTGGGGATAGTCCTGGAAAAGAAAGCAGGTTGGACAAGAAGAGTTGTAAATCCCCTGATGATGTGAATGAGATAAGGAGTTTGCTGATGGTGGCGGTTGAGATACCAGCAGATGCTCCAGAGGAGAACGTAAAGGAGATCTGTGAGGGGGAGATAATAAAGTTGCAAGAGGACAATGGAGGGAACAGTGAATTGAGCAAAGTGGCTGTGGCAGAAATTCAGGTGAGCCAGACGATGAGGAGCGAAGATGCAGCAGAATGTGTGGAACTCAAAGAGGAGAGACCATCCTCATGTCTGGGGACAGATGGTACGAGTTTAGGGAGTGTGTCCAGGGGCGCACAAGCAGAGTGGCTGGTGGAAAGCTCGGACCCGCCTCAGGAGGCAAAGGCAGAGGGGGAGATGAAGCAAAGCGTGTGGCACACGGGTGTGGGAAGCTGTGGAAGTGAGAGGTTGCAGCCAGAGGAACACACAGGAAATGTGTCGGAAGACAGAAGGTTGGCTGGGCGGGAAGGAGGAGCAGAGAATAGCCACACCATCCCCGTGGAGGTGGGGCCACAGAGCTCCTCTCAGAGGGCTGCTGAACATGCAGACACCACACAAGTGCCTATTTTGGATACAGAGAACCCAGGAACAGCACTGCTGGAGGCAGTCTCTTTGGTGCCACAGCAGCACGAGGTTAACACTGCGTTAAAGGTCACAGGAGATAAAGAGGCTGGTGGGGGCGAGGGGGAGCCAGGAGATGAATCATCTTCACACATGGAAATCAAAAGCACAGAAGTAAAAGATACTCTCACAGAAGAAAACAGAGAAGATACTTGTGTACAGCAAAACTCGGAAGAGTAGGAAGTGTTTTTCAGCCCGGCCCTGCAGGATTTATTTACTCCAGTAATCCTTGTGTAATTGTGAATACTCCTTTGGGTCGGGGCTAGAGGAAATGGGCTTTGTTGTGGGATTGCCAGCTCTTCCAGGTTTCCCACAGATCTCTTCCTGAGTGATAGGTGATGGGCTTCTTTTTGGTTTAAAACCAGGTTACTGCTGAGAAACCTCATCTTTCACTTAAAATTTGCTCCCTTTTATGGTTAGAGAAAAAGTCTGAAAATGTGACCACTGAATGCTTCAAAAGCAAATCACTCCCAACTATTATCAATTTATTTTAACAACTTCACTGTTCGTAGTGTTGCTCATGATTTTTCAGTGCATGGATTTGACTGGTGGTTGGTACATAGATACTCGAAGGTGCTTTTAGTCTTTGCATGCAGTGTACAGAAATAAATACGGAAATAAATCAATCTTTTAGTAGTTAAACAGAACCCAGTGGTTAATTTAGTAGGTTGCTCAAAAACCACACTCTAAGCAAACTCTGCAAACTGATTACTTAATTATTTTCAAGTTTGGGTAGATGTTAAAGACAAGCAAATGTTCTGATTTTTTTTTTCTCTTATTGCTATATTTAAAATGGGGAAAGTATGGGAGCAGGTTTCTCAGTCCCACTGTGCACTTCTTGGTTATTTAGCCTTCCAGAGCACTTTACAGCTATTTTATTTTGTTTTATTTTATGGAAGGGAGAGATGAGAATGTTTACAATAACTATAACCATTAGCAGCATCTCTCTGGTTTCATTCCCACCATAAAATAGATTCACTTACAGCTATCTAATACAGAACACTGAGTCCTGCCATGCCCATTCCTACTGAGTTACCCAGTTCTGTAGGCATTTTTAGGTGTGGAAATCACATAATTAAGTTGCAATAATTGTGAAATATCATAATCATTGCATATAATTTCTAATAGAGATGTTAACTGAAGTGAAAAGCAGCCAAAGGTTACTACATGTGCTTAGATTTTGGAGAGCAGAATAACATTTAAAAAGCAGTTATTAAAATGAGACAATTGTTTTCATACATATCAAACCATGATCTAGGCATGGATTTGCTTATATGTGTTATTTGCATTTAAGTTTATGGACTGTGCACAGAAAGCTTGGAAATGAAACCCAGTATTTTAATAAATTGGGCTTTAGAGTGCAAGACCTCACTTTAGAGGTCAATTTAAGGCACCTTAAAATTTTGGCCTTGTGTTTCAGACTGTTTCTGAATATCATACAGTACAGGACAGCAAAGATTAATGATAAATACAGTAAAGGACTGCAGGATTTATGCCCATAAAGACATGGGAAGAAATAACAAAGTCCCGGGAGCATAATACGTGTTGGCATTTAACTTCAACAAACTGCAAAGCCTTTTAATGCTATCAAAATATTCTTTAATACTAACAGAATTGACACTAGAGGAACAGGCAAACATTACTGTGTCAGAAAGGAACATTGTTAAGTAACTAGACTAACTGCTCTGTCACTATTGTAAAATAAATGCAATTCTTATTTATTCCAGAAGCCATACTGTGGTATGGAAACATGAAGGTCACAGATGTTTTCTTTGCAGAAGGATTTTGACTTGTTTCCTCCCTATATTTCATGCAAAAATACTAATTTGTAAGCACACAAACCACTGCCAGCCAATTTTTTTTTAACAAATCATTACTTACTTCACTGTCAGCTGGTTTGTTTTTACAAATCATTAACTATTTTTAATTGGTACTGAGTGCTAAGCGACTTCAAATTTATACCATGTGCTATACAGTTAAGCAGGAGCGGCCTCTTTTAGCTAAAATCAGGAGACATGATGGGTTTTTAATGCTCTTTTTGTGAAAAAGACAAGTAACATGATGGTAAAAAAGACTGCAGTGTCCTGCAAAAGGAAACTAATTCATTCTAATATGAATTAGATACATCTGTACAGAGAGTATTCAGAATAAATATTCCCATCATGATAATTTTTGAGTTATTTCTGTGGCAGGCTTAGATCTGGGCAGTATTTTCCTGTAACATGAATTGAGTTGCTGAAAGCAGGTGCTCGGAGGTTTTTCACAAGTAGGACAGGAAAGGAGAGGGAAGATTTAGCCCACACATTGCCTGGTTCTGCGATTTAAATTGGAGTTCCTCATGGCTAGGGGACTGGTTTTTTCCCTTTTTGGACATTTTCTGTCCATTTGCAAATGGATAAAGTAGCATTTTCTTGTCTTTACCAGAGGCAACAGCCATTTCAAGCTCAGAAATCTGCAAGGTTGCCTCGGACCGCTGATCAAAAATGATAATAACCCACCCTTTCCGTCATTTTTTTGTAGCTTTCTTGAAATTTCCTACACATACCTGGAATGAATTTTTTCACTTGCACACTGGGAGCAGTAAAGAATCGCCTCCCAGGGCAGGATGGGTGAGGGCGCCCCGAGGGGAGCGGGCTGAGGGCTGGGATTTCCTGGGCTTTGCACTGGTAACGGCCAGGACAGGAAACACATTTGTATTTCGCTTGGAACTTTGTAAAAACGCTTGTCATGGAAATAAAGACGCTCTTCCCTTCCATTGCTGGGAGGCTGGTTTTGTGAGTGTGTGATAATTTCGGGGGGATTATTTAACAAATATACCTCAGGCGGCTGTCGGGGGGTGAGGGAGGCGTGTCCTTCCAGTACCAGCTGCGAGCAAGGTGGAGAGGGACTTTTTGTAAGGGCAGGACGAGGGGGAATGGCTTCGAACAGGTTTAGATTAAATACTGGGAAGAAATTCTTCCCTGTGAGGATGGTGAGGGGCCGGGACGGATTTCCCAGAGAAACTGTAGCTGCCCCATCGCTGGAAGTGTCCAAGGCCAGGTGGAGCACCCCGGGACAGCGGGAGGCGTCCCTGCCCGTGCAGGAGGGTGGGACTGGATGGGCTTTAAGGTCCTCCCACCCAAACCCGTCTGGGATTCTATGATACAATTCTGTGTCTCTTCTCCCTTGTTCTTTATTCTGATTCAGTGATTCCATCACACACAGACAGTCCCAGGACGTGTTTGTTTGTAAGCTATCACCCGGGTGGAAAGCGCGGTGCTGTAAATGCTTGTTATTTGTTATCAGATTTGGCTTCTGAAGCTGGGAATTGCTATTTGGAGTTTCAGCTTCATATTTTATAATAATTTGGCATCTTTAATAATCGTCTAATCGGCTGTGATTGTGCTCTGCACATAACAGTTACTGTGTACAAAATGTTTGAAACGCTGGCGTTGTGGAAGCGTTGGGAGCCTGTCATTTTTAACCGCGGCAGGCATTTACGAAGGGTGGAATAAGACGGGCTTTACGCCTGTCATTTTTAACCGCGGCAGGCATTTACGAAGGGTGGAATAAGACGGGCTTTACGGTCCCTTTGAACCCGAGCCATTCCCCTGGCACGCGGGAGCTGTGGTTGCCCTGTAGTCCGCCCTCCTTTGTCCACGTCGCCCGTCTCGTCACTGCCGCCCCGCGCGCGGACGTGTCCGCCCGCTGCGGCTCCCCCATGGCCCGGCGGTCCGGAAGCGGCGGCGGCGGCGCGAGGCGGTTTCCTTGGCTACGCCCCCGGGCGCGCGCAGGGGCGGGCAGGGGCCGGCCGGCGGGGCGAGCGGCAGCGCCATGGCGGAACGGGACCGGCAAGCGGCCGGAGTAGGCACCGCCGCCACACGCCCCCATGGCCCCCAGCGCACCGCCGCCCTGCCGCGCCGGGGAGCGGGCGCGCCGCTGCAGGGCCCTGGAGGCTCCTGGCCCTGGCCTGCTCTCCGCCTCCTCCGTGTGTGCGGCCGCCCCGGGCGCCGGGGCTAGAGCAGGAGGAGGAAGCGCCGGCTGGGGTGAGCGGCGGGACGGGACGCGCGGGAGGACGGCGGGCAGCGGGGCTGAGGCCGCCCCCGGGCTGGGGGCGGGCGCGGAGCCCCGCGGATGTCCCCTGTCCCCAAAGCTCCGGACACGCTGGCTCCGGCCCCGCCGGCGCTGCGGCTGGGGTGCCGGGCCCGCTGGGCTCCAGGGCCAGCCCCATCCCCGTGGCTGCTCGGGGGTCACTCCATGTGCTCCGGGAACCCGCAGTCACCACGCTTGGCACCTCGTCCAGGAGGGCTCAGCCGGCGGTTCCGTGGAATTAGGGGTAAAAGCGATCAAAGGTGACTCCAGCTCCGCTCTCGGTTGGTTTAATTGTGGCCCTGCCTCCGTGAGAGTGCGGGAGTCGTAAAAAAGGTAAATGTTTATCCATGTTCCTGCCGAGTTCCTGTGTGTGAGCTAAACTGTGCATGTACACGTCAGAACCTGATTCTCTCTTGGTGTACTTTTTGGCTGAGGGGTAAAGGTTATGGCAAGCTGGAAATATATTTCCCTGCGTTAAGTGGGATTTCTGTAAAAGAAGTTTGTAATCGAGCATATCTCGATCTTGTTATGTTACTGGGGCAGTTTCATCATCCTCTGCTCAGTGGTACAGAATAGTGATGCAAAAAATCTGCTGGAGGAGCACTCTGGATCCTCTCCTGGCTATTAATCATGGAATCCTTTAAGTTGGAAGAGACCTCCAAGACCCTCAAGTCCAAACATCAGATATAAGTTGATATTTAACTCCGGTGTTTACAGTTACTGGAGTTTCCCACTTTGTGTTCTCAGGGCATTTTGTTTGTATAATCTTTTTGTGTTCTTTGCTCCTGTGGCTACAACAAGGAGTTTTAATTCCTTTCCCTGATGGGTTTTGAAGTTTTTGCATTAATATCTTGCACTTAAAACATAATCTGATACCTCAGGGATGTGCAGGTCATGTCCTGCCATGGTTTGTATTTGGGATCACTTCTAAATAAAGTAATCTGTGTATTTATTTAATGACAGGGTCATGTCAGTCCCAGAAAATGCCCAGTAAATGTAAATTTTAAGCAGCTTTGTGTGCTTAGTTCATCTGGGGCTTTGTCTGCTGCTGCAGATCCCAGATCCTGTGAAGTACCTGGAAAAAGCACCATCCTCTGCTCTTTTGATGACTTAATGCACTCGATGAGTTAAAGCTACTTCTCAAATTTCCAAGTCATTGAACTAAATTGGATATTTACAGTATAACTGTGGTGTTCTTGGCTCGTTTATGTTCAGTCTTATCAGCAGAGATTGTGAATTATGTTGATGGTAGAATTAGCATCCTCTTTTGCTTGCAGGGCTACTGAGTAAAACAGTTAGGAGTGACTGGAAGTAAAGCTGTCTCTCAAAAAAACAATGTGCTTTTTGGATTTTTTTTTTTATATATAGTAGCATTTCTCACCTTGACTGCTTTTCAGACTGCTAAGATAAATGCAACTACAAGAGTTTTCCTTAGTATTTGCTTGCCAGGAAATCCCCAAATATTTAATTTCATGTTAGGTGAAGAAAGAGGCTTTCCACAGTGACCAAAAGTAGTTAAATTAGGAAAAATCACTATTCTTTATCTCATTTACTTGAGTAGAGTGTGTTTGTAAAGGACCTGTTACTGATATTCAGACAGATATTAAAGTGTGATTCATCTAAGATGGTGCATTAAAGGCCGTTGGGAGACAGACCACTAACACTTTTGGTTTTTTCTTTTTTAGAAATCAAGTGCTTGAAATGTTTGATCATGCATATAGCAATTATATGGTGAGTAAAATACTTGTTTGATGTTTGTCAGAGGAGTTGTTGCTGACCTGGGAGAGAAATCAGCCTACAGTACATGACATTCTAGAAAAGTATCCAGGAGGGAGGGGTGAAAACAAAGCTAAAATAAATAACAGCACCTGTACAGCCTTTAAAAAGACATGAACAAATGTTACTTTCAGGAAGAGCAGTGTCAGGAGGGTTATGGTGGCTTTTGGAGGGGTAACTCAGAATTGCCTGTGGTAACTCTCCTAATCTCTGCTCTAATCTCCTGGGAAGATCTCTGATCTTTCCCAAACCACTTTATCTTATGTTTCCAACAGTTCTCATCTTTAGTAAAGTGTTTGGTTTGAAATTCCAGACTCCTAAAACTGGTAGGAAAAGGAAGCTCAAGAAGAGCTGTTTGTAGCCATCAGATTGTGGAGAACTATCTGATCTCACTTACCTTGTAGGTAAAAATGCCATGTAATATTTCTTGACGTGTCAGGTGCAGTTTGGTGACCCTTTTACAGACCCCAGAAAGGGGATGTGGTGTCATATGCAGGCATTCCAGACTCTGCTGAGGATGTGAGTGTCATATGACCATAAGTCACGCTCACTATGGTTTCTTTTGCTATGACTTGTGATTTTCTGTGCAGGTGTCCCTGTGTTCTAGATCTGTGAGCCATTCTAACCCACCTTGAAATATAGTCAGCTTGGTTTAGATCTGCTAAAGAATAAAGAATTACTGAGAGTGGACTTGCCTCAAGCAACAGTCCATTATACTCTAAGTAACACACTTCTGAGGAGAAACTGCAGGTGCAACTCAGATAAATATAAAAGATGCATTTTGACTGACCTTCCATTGACAGTCTTGCACATTCTTTGTGGGTGTTGCAGAAACCCCTCAGGTTGCACCAGTTCCTGCAGCACAAACCACTGTCTCCTGGCAGCATCTTGCCACATGTCCCAGTCTCTGTGTCGTGGTTTAACACTTTGATATGTAATACCAGCTGAAAACCTTGGGAATTGCAAGTTTATACAGCAGGTGAGAGGTCCAGGGCCCTGGAATGGGTAGAAGGGATGTAGTTTCTCTTTGTATCATCAGCTCTCTGCTTTTGCCACCTCTAGCAGTTTAACCAAACATCAGGCTTTTTGAGGATAATTTGGAACTGGTTACCTGGGACCTGATTCCATGAAAAACACTTGGCTTGGGTTTCCCCAAGAAAAAAGTTGTGCATTTGGCAAGATTGCTTAAAATACTAGAAGGATCTGTGCTCCTGCTGTTCACTGGGTGATAAACAGGCAGCTCCTACGGTTCTTGCTACATCTGAATCAAGAAAATTCGGGTTGAAAGAGAGGAACAACTTCAGCTATCCTGGAAACTTTGGAGCCAAAAGGATTTGGACTTGCCACGTATACTGGAGCACAAAACAAACAGAGAAATGTGACTTGTTTGTTTAAAGCTGAAGAAAAGATTAGGGTGTCAGACCTGACTCTTGACAGCAAGAGAATTAAGTACTTTTGCAGGTGCTTTTGAAAGAGCCAGCTGAAAAGTTTTGATTTTCTGTTTCTATTAATATGGATTTCAGATATGTGTGTTTAGAAGACTGAAAATTCATGTTTGCTTGCAAGGGAAACTCCCTTTTTTTTTTTTTTTTTAGTTATTAACAGAAGCCTTGCGTAAAAAGCTGCTGGATTGTTTTTTTCCCAGTCCTTCAACAATATTTGTAATAATCAGGATGTTTTTTTCTTCTTGGCTGTCAGAAAGAACATGTGAAAATGTCAGTTATTTGAGGCCAGGGACAAGTTGGGAAACCATTTGATCCAGTAGCCTTTTCTGATCTATGCAGGGAATAACTGAACTTTTATTTTTTTAAAATGCTTCCAATTCCTTATGATTTTGCAAAACTAAAAGTCCATTTTCTCCAGAATTTTTATAACTCCTGTCTCCATAATTTAAGAAGTTTTGACTTTGCTTTTGTCATGTACTTCTTTAATCTGTTTTGCTGAATACTTTGCAGGATATTCAGAAACATCTGAGCTGTGTTAAAATGATCTAGATTCTGGTTTTTGTAGTTGAACTTAAGGAGAACAAAGAGTTGTGCAAAGACCAAAACATTCAGGAGGGTGATATACAGGGAAACAAACCATCAGTTTCAAAAGGAGTTGCTGTAAGAGCTGTTTATTTATAGAGAAATGTTCCTTTTTTCTCCCTTTATTTCATGTTTGAATATAGATTATTTTTGTACTATATATTTGGAAATACTTTGAATGTGTTTATTTGCAGTTTCAGTGCAGTAATTGGAGTTTTTTATCCTGCCACATGTGAGTTGTCCACTAAAATTCAAAGTGGAGAGCACAGTAGAGCAGCCAGTTCCCTGATGAAATGGAGAGAGAAGCTCCATCCCAGATCATTTGCATTGAGCTTCTAATGGAGAGGCGATTTTGTGCGTTTGTTGGAATTAGATATATTTAAGATTCATATTTATTAATGTCAGTTTTGTATTTGTTATATTAGTGTCAGTTCTATTTGAAAAAGGCTCAGGTTTTTCAAGCTTTTTTTGGTGAATGTTATTTTTTTTTATGCCTTATGTAGTAATTTACTGGTTTATTGTTTTAACTTCTGTGTTCTCTTACCTGGCACTGGTTGTCACCCTGGCCCACTTTATGTTCATTGGGAAGTGTTTCCAAAGTGCCTTTTAAGTCTAATTCCCACAAAATGCTCCATGAAATACCAGCCACTTGATAATGCCTGCATTAGTTTTAGGTTTTAAACTCATCTTTGAGGTGGTAACGTCACAGGAAGTGTCACATGTGCCTCATTGCAGAAAGCACACAATTAACTACTCTTATTATTTTTTCCTGGATGTGCCATTAGTTGTTCCAGACTTCTCTGGGAGCTTAGAGAAAAAGTAGGTCTTGTTGGTCTGTTCCCAGTTTAATCATTTCCAGCCACCCAGCAGAGAAGAAGTTGGGGGTCCTGGTGGACCAGGTTGACCATGAGCCAGCAAAGGCAGCTCATGGAATCCTGGGCTGCCTCGGGAAAATGTTGCTGGCAGGTCAGGGAGGTGATCCCGCCCCTCTGCTCACACTGGGGAGGCCACACCTGGAGTTTGGGCTGCCAGGATGGGAGAGACGTGGGCACAGTGAGCAGAGTCCACTGCAGGGCCGGGAAGAGGAAGAGGCTGGACCAGCTTTCCTGTAAGGAAAAGCTGAGAGAGCTGGGGCTGTTCAGCCTGGGGAAGAGAAGGCTCTAGGACCTTCCAGGTTTAAGAAGGAGTCTGTCAAGATGACAGAGCCAGGCTCTTCTCAGTGGTGCTCAGAGGAAGTGGGCACAAACTGAAGCAGAGGAGGAAATGCTTCTTCACTGTGAAGGGGACCAGGGGCTGGCACAGGGTGCCCAAAGGAATCTCCTTCCTTGGAGATACTCAGAAGTTGTTTGGACACAGTCCTGGGCAGGCGGGTCTGGGTGGCCAGGCCTGAGTGGAGGAGTTGGACAAGATCAGCTCCAGAGGTCCCTTCCCACCTCAAAGGCTCTGTGACTGCCATGCAGTTTTTGTGAGATACAACCTAAGTAGGATCCCTTCCCAGAGTTGCTGTGCTGGCTGTGAGCAGTGTAACTCCTTCCCTTGTTTTGTTCCCCACAGGAACACGCGTATCCCGCTGATGAACTCATGCCTTTAACGTGTCGTGGTCGAGTCCGGGGTCAGGAACCGAGTCGAGGGGACGTGGATGATGCCTTGGGAAAGTTAGTGTTTGAAACGGTTACTGGCTCCTGTGAACATCTAATCTAAGTACAACTTGCAGCCCATAAAGCTTGTTTGTTCAGTTGGCATGTCCAGAAACTTGCACTTGTAAGAAATACTTGGATTATTTCCTCCCGTGAAGTTAAATGATGTGACATGAGAACTGACCAGTGAAAGAGACCCAGAGATAATTTCTTGGGGTGTCCAGCACAGGGACAGGAGTTGGACTTGATGATCCGAATGGGCCCCTTCCAACTCAGCAGATTCTATAATCACTTTTTTTAACCATTTTCCAAGTGTTTTCCATAGGAAAGCCTTCCAAATGTGAGCTGACATTAATGTTATTAATATTAGAGGTCATAAGGGTTAATGATCAGCTGAAAAATAAACTTATCCATGATGCTGCCCTTGTGAATACTATTTAAAATGCCTTTCTTTTAAGTTGAAAGTTCTCTGAAAACAGTCAAATGATTATCATGTGTGTGGTACCCTGAGGCCTTTGCCAAAGCATAAAACATTATTTCAGACATGAACATACTTCATGGTCTGTCTTTTAAGGTAGCTTAGAATAGAAAGAACTGATCCTTTGGCCAGAAAAATGTAGATGTAAGAACTTTTCCTCCATGTTAAATGGAACAATCAAAGAGTTGACTTAGTCTCAGTGTGTTCTAATTGATTCCTTTGTATGTGTGCAGTTTGTGGAGGAAACCCTTAATTACAAATAGCTGCTGCTTTTATTTATTGATATCACTGCTCAGTGTCCCTAAGCAGAATAGGGTTAATCACAGCTGAAGTCCTTGTCTTAAATACTACTTCTAATTGTCTCAGTAATATTGAGCATGTTATTTTGGTTATTTTTGTTACGTACAAAAGTTCCTTAGTCTAGAAATTTCTCTATAAACCTGCTGTTTTGGAGGTATTGAGAGATACAACTGATGGAAAAGAATTGTCAAGAAAATGTATTTTTAGTCCTGATGACCTTTTTTTACACGATAACATGCTACCATTTGAGTAAAAATCCCTTTCAGGCCCTTAGATGCAGTGACTAGTCTATTTATTTATTATTTTCCTGTATACATACTTTATTCTGTACCTTATAATTAGTTCTATTATTAATGACCAGATTTCTTATCTAATCCTTTTTCTTGCCAGCTGCCTCATGAGTCATGTTCTCTCCAAGCCCTTGCAGTCACAAGTGCCAGGGTGAGGCAGCTGGGTCAGCTCTGTCCCCCTGCAGAGCTCAGGAGGTACTTGCACACCAGCTTTGGAGCTGTGAAAGGCACAATTTCCCTCCTTTTCCATACAAAAAGCTGTGTCTCTGTTAGGCAGTTGTGCTTAGCCACTGCCTAACAGAGACACTGCTTCTTGTAGAACAGCACTCACAGAATGCCCTTATGTCTTTACAAATTAAAGAAAATTGTAATGTAGCAGCACTTAATTAGGATTTTAATAGTCATGTGTTGCCTACAGGGTCTCAAACACTGGACACCCTGCTTAAATTCTTGGTGCTTACTCTTTAATTGACAGTTTTAACTGATTCTAAAGTTCTCAGTTTTAACACCATCATGTTCTGTAAATTCTATGTGTGGTGTGTGTTTTTTAACATTAGCATAGAGCAATTGTTGGAATGAGATATATTTGAGATACAGTTATACATATAATTACTGGGGTAGGGGAAAGGCCCACTCAGCTTGGGATGCACTAGAACAACCCTGGAGAAAATCTAGGGATCTTATTGTGATATTCCTGTTTGAAACCATGTGGATCTGACTTGATGTTCTCTTTTTATGGAATAATTATAGAATCCTAAATGGTTTGGGTTGGAAGAGACCTTAAAGTTCATCCCACTCCACCCCCTGCCACGGGCAGGGACACCTTCCACTAGACCAGGTTGCTCCAAGCCCTGTCCAGCCTGGTTTTGGGCACTGTTAAAGTAGTTCTTTATTTTCAAGTAGTTCTTTATTTTAAAGACAATAAAGTAATTCTTTATTTTGAGCCTGCCACTTGTTACTTTTGGAACAGTTGCTGATAGGAGAAATTTAGCTTGGACCTCAACATTCTTTTAGTTTGACTCTCAACATTCTTCCTGTTTTTGAAAAACGAAATAAAACAGAAGTTGGAAGAAGACTTCAAACACTTTTCTTCAGTTTCTTACTAGATTTGATTTGAGGCTATGAATAAAAATGAAATTTACTTACAAGAAGTTAGAAAGCTTTGCAGTAAATGGAGGTATTTGTGATCACAGCTTCTTTCAGTGAGCTCCTACCCTGGTCACTAACAAAGAGAAGAAACTTAGAAGAGTGTTTTCATATTAAACATATTGTGTACAACTAATTTTTTGGCACCCAGTGGTCTGTGAGGATTTTTAGTTTCTTCCATGGTATCAGTTACTATTAAAAATGACTTGATTTCTACTCATACAGGTTTGTAGTAAATCTGTTTTAAATTTCCTTTCGTAGGTTTTCACTGACCTTGATTGATACCTTGGACACTCTTGTGGTAAGTTTAATCTGTTGATAAACTTTGATAAAACAAAAAGGTTGTCTTCTGATACTCAGACTTACTTTTAGATTTCCTTTTCTTGCTCATTGATCTCTGGCTCTCTGTTTGAAGTGACTGTTGCTTGTAAGAACTTTCAAGTGCAGTGAGGGCCGTGTTTGGAGTTCGTTGTAAAATGAAAACTACAGCAGTTCCTTCAAATGTCATTGATACTTTCTTCTCTTGCTTTTTTGGGGCTTTAACTTAACAAAGAAGTATGTGAGTTTGCTTCCCATTTTATAGCCTAAAGCAACATGCAGAGTTATTGGGGGACACAACCCTTAATACCACTGATTAATGTATGGTTTTAAATTTTATATATATATTTCATGGATGACTTTATGTGCACTTAAATATACTGTACCTAAATAGCCTGTGACTGTATTAGCTGTGTTGGAACTTAACACCTGCCTCCCTTTGTATTTCAGGTGTTAAATAAAACCAAAGAGTTTGAAGAGGCTGTAAAAAAAGTAATAACGGATGTTAATTTAGATAATGACATCGTTGTGTCTGTCTTTGAAACCAACATAAGAGTCCTTGGGTGAGTAACTTTCGTTTCCAAAACTCTTTAAAAGGTGGGCTTTAGGTAAATGTCCTTCAGAGATACATTCCTGTGCTGTTCCACATCACTTTAGGGAGTTTGCCTGAGAGGGTTTAAAATGCGAGGCAGGACTCGCTGCGGTGGCACTGGATCAAACTGACCTGCAGCAGCAGCTTTCTCATTTCAAAAAACTGTGCTTGCTGAGGTGGCAGTGTATTTTCTTATTGGAAACAGGCTAACAAATGACTCTGAACACTTGATTTAGCAGATTTCAGTATTCAGGGTAGTAGATTATTTCAGAGTGGAAGGGACCTCTGGTGCTCAGTGCAGGATCACAGCACGTAATTTTTAGTTATTATATGCAGTTTTAGAGCTGTTGGTTTTTATTCCTGACAAATATTGCTGAATCAGTGATTCCTCTGCAGTTCAGGACTGATAAACAGTAAGAAGGGCTTCCAAAATAACTGCAGCTAACCTTGATTATGAAGGGAATTGCATCAGCAATCTGAAAACTAGGGCTCTGTGAATATAGCACAGTTATGCACATCTAAATGGTAGAGATCTTTGCACTGCCGTTCGGATGAACATCCCTTTTGAGGTGGGGATAATTTTTCTTGTGTTCAGAGGTCTCCTAGGTGGGCATTCAGTGGCAATTATGCTGAAAGAAAAAGGTGAATATATGCAGTGGTACAACGGTGAACTCCTGCACATGGCAAAGGAGCTGGGCTACAAGCTTTTACCTGCCTTCAACACCACTAGTGGTCTCCCTTACCCAAGGGTAAGTTCTCTGCTTTCTGTCATGCAGGATTCCTTCTGTTGTTCTGCTTTTATCTCTGTTTCCAAATCATTTTTGTATTTGTAAAGTGGACAGAAAATCAAAAGCTGAGAAATTACAGGTGTTCTCTGGAGCCAGGAATAGTGAGATGTTTACAAAGATTGATTCCCAAGAGCACTTGTGACGTTCTGAGTTCCTGATTTGCTGGTAAATATTAATTGCTAGAATTAGGTTTTCAGGGTGTATTGTGTTATTCCAATGTTTCCTGAGCCAGGCAACAGGTCCTTATTTGGGAGGGTTGAGTGTTTTGGGTGCTTCTGGATAATATTCTGTGCATTTGAGTTGACAGTAGGTGGTAAAAGCAAAGCGAAGCTGAAGAGAGGGCTGTGTGGTTTTTTTCTCTTGTCTTTAGAAGAAGCTGTAGATTGTTGTACAATCACAAGAGTGAAAATTCTTAAGAGTTACAAGAGTAAATACAAAGATGATAATCTCTACTTTTCTCTAGGTTAACTTAAAATTTGGTGTAAGACATCCAGAAGCACGAACAGGAACAGAAACTGATACCTGTACAGCTTGTGCTGGTACCTTGATCCTTGAGTTTGCAGCTTTAAGCAGATTCACAGGAACATCTATATTTGAGGTTTGCTTTCCATGATATCTTATTTTTTGGATTAGGTGTTAATTAGTGTTCTATTACATTTTTGTAATTTTGAGTTCATGAAATGGATGAAATTCAAGTGTCTTAGCTGTTCTGCACAAAAAAATTTGTATGTATGCAGATTTGTTGTGTTTGTGGGCTTTGTTCTAAGGTTTGATTGTTTGAATTATTTTTTAAATCACAGGAAATAATTTTGGTTGAAAGTAGTTACAGTAATACAACAGTAAATGAGATAAATGTACTGAAGAACAGCATAAGGGTAGTGCTTCCATAGCTTTTGGGGTAAAGACATCCAGACTAGTAAGAAGAAAAGTGAGGTGCTTGGTCCTTAAAATGCACTTTAAACTAAAATAAATAAACCCCACAGTTGTGTAGAGTCACTGAACATGTGCAAGACCTACCTAAGGTGTATTTCTGATAATACACCTTTATCAGAAAGGTAAATGAAAATACTTGCAGGTATCTGATACAACCTCCATCTGATTAAAAAAAAAAAGGCAAGCTCTTTCCCGATGAGAATTTTTTTCAATCTTTCATGAGGTGCCTGGTATTTTGTTTCCTGTCGTGGAACCAGCGGAAGCAAAGCTGGGCCCCCGAAAATCCCGTGCATGTGTTTGCTGTTTGAAGTCATCTTAGTTGAGTAGATGTTAAATTCAAGTTAATTTGGGGCATGTAAAGAATGTGTATAACTAGGATATTAGTGAACAGGGGCTGCTGCTCCACCTTGAGGTGCCTGAAAGAACACAGGGATTTTGCTTCTAAGGATGTTACATTTCTTGAGATACTTTAATTAGGTTGCACTATCCCATCATTATTTTAGAATAGGAAACCCATGCAGAAGGGTGTATTGGCAAACACTTGTGTATTGGCAAACACTTGTGGAGCCAAGCACCAATCTTGCTGATCAGCCACTGAATAACTGTATAAAATGTGGGCTGAATATGGTACTATTAAAGTGTGTGTAATACTGCAATTTATAATTGCTAGATATGAAACATCTTATTCCTTCCTCGCATCTGAATTTCAGTAGACAAAAGAATAACAGTCTTTATTATCTGTGTTTCTCTAATTTCCTTTTTTTTTTTTTTGGCTTTTGTTGCAGGAATATGCCCGGAAAGCTCTTGATTTTATCTGGGAGAAGAGGCAGCGCAGCAGCAACTTAGTGGGTGTCACTATCAACATTCACACTGGAGACTGGGTCCGAAAAGGTGGGTGATGTCCTGGCTCAGGGTCGGGGGTTTGGAGCAGGGAAAAACTCCTGACAGAGCCCCAACACCCTTATAGACTGTAGAAAAGTATTACATCATTTCAGTGCTGCATAAACCTGCTACACCAAAGCCTGGCTTTGCTCTGAAAGGGCTTTTTGGTAGAGAAACCAATTTTATTCATTGCAAAGTGCTCCCTGATTCACTTTTAGAGGGGAATACCTTGGGATAAACTTTCAGAGATTTTGCTATAAATACATAGGAAAAATGTAAATAGGAATGTAGAAGTGATTTCCTCTGAGGAAACAACTGGCTTCAATGCATGTCCTCCCTGTTCTTATGTGCACTGGCATTGCAAAGCCTTTTGCTTTGACACACGGTGTTATGTCTCTGCATCCATCTGGACCTTAATTCTAGTGATAGAAGGCTTTTCCTTTTACTGGAAAAGCCTTTGAAATCAAAATGGAAAAATATGGAAAACACCCATGTATCTACTTAAAGTAAACCCACCTTTTCATTTCCTCCTGTTTCTAGATAGTGGAGTTGGAGCAGGAATAGATTCCTATTATGAATATTTATTAAAAGCCTATGTCTTGCTGGGAGATGACAGTTTCCTGGAAAGGTTTAACACGGTAAGTTAACACCTTGCTCAGGTTTGTGCCTTCTGTAAGACAGATTTAAGAGGAATTGTGTTGTCAGCTGTTGGCCTGAGCAGCCTGTGAAGAGATCTTTAGCAGAATTTCTGTGACTTGTGCTGTGTTTAGTGCCAACTCTTTTTACTGAGGGTTTTTGCTAATCGTGGGTGATCAGCTGTCGCCTGAGCAGTTATTTTAACCCCAGAATCTTCTAGACCTTTCTCCATGCTTCCAGTGCAGGAGGAGCTGTGTTTCAGGATGACCTTGGAGAGTGTAATGCTGGAAATGTTTCTGTAAAACAATGTAAGGGCCTCTTGTTACAAGCCAGGGTACAGCTTCTGTCTTGGAGCAGCAGAAAAGATCTGAAAATCAAAGTCTGGATCTTGCTTTGCACTGCAGATCCTCAGGCCCAGGACACATTTAAATATGCTTACAAGTTGAAAACCACACTTGGATTACTAAATTTATATGATTACTATGCAGCTGTCAGCATCTTTATTCCTTCATAAGAGTATTATTTCTTTTGAAAATAGTGACATTCATTAAAAACATTTTAGATGGTAAAATGATTTTATATCATACAGCATGATTTTACATTAAAATTGGAGTAATTCAGTGGCTAAAGGCCTGTTGTAACACTTTAGGTGCAGTGATTATTTCATGTTCCTAATGTGCAGCCCCCATTATATTTCCTTGAGTGACATCTGTTAAGTGTTTCCTTTCAGTTTGACTCATGTGCTCATGGTTGCACCTCCAGAAAACTAAAAAGGCATTTTCCTTGGGGAGTACAGGATTGGAAGTCAGCAAGGTGGCACATGAGCTAGTGGGTTTTAAACTTCTGAGCCATCAAGTCCAGCTGCTTTGTTGGGATTTTTTTACCTCCTTTTCCTTCTGAGGTGCATTTGTTTTTGAATTCTTTTGTTCAGAGAAAGCAGTTTCAGCCTTTTTCAGTGTGTGCTTAAAAATTTAGCCTGAACAAATGTGTCTTAACTGTGATAGTTCTTTGTTTATCACATGGCTGCTGGATATACTTTTGTGTATGTATATGACTTGGAAAACGTGATAAGTTTTGTGTGTGGAGATTTTCAGTATTTACTTATTTTTAGTTTGCAAAACTAGAACCTCCTGGCATTGCCAAATGTAGTAATGATTGGGAATGCAGTCCTGGTTCTTCCACTGAAATAAAGTGCCAATCTGGTGAGCTCTGTCTGATTTTTGGAATGGTATTGGTAACACAAACTCGTTTTTTCTGCTGTTTGGCAGCACTACGATGCCATAATGAGATACATCAGCCAACCACCTCTTCTTCTTGATGTTCATATTCATAAACCCATGCTAAATGCTCGCACCTGGATGGATTCTTTGCTGGCTTTCTTCCCTGGTTTGCAGGTAAGGTTTAAAACCCAGGAGCAGATGGTTTTAATAACAAGTAAATTATTAACTGGACTGGATATATAGCATTCAGGTCAAGCTTAGTAATTTGATTTTCAGAAATACTGGGCGAGGATCCCTGGAAGTGTCCAAGGCCAGGTTGGACGGGGCTTGGAGCAACCTGGGCTAGTGGAGGTGTCCCTGCCCATGGCAGGGGAAGGCACTGGATGGGCTTTAAGGTCCCTTCCAACCCAAACCACTGTGTGATTCCATGATTTCTGTACTCGTTCCTGTCACTTCATTGCTATGATGCTTTTCTGGCCATGTTGACTATCAGGAAAAGTATGTCCATATAATTTGCTTCCTTCTCCTCATGAAAACACTCCATCTGCCTTTTTAGTAGTCTAGTGACAAATTTTCTAGTTTGTATGCCATTTATATCTTTAAAACAAACTAAATCACATTTCCACCCCAGGTCTCTGTAAATGACAGAGATCTTTGTTCTACATAGTCAATAATCTTAATGAGTTCACTGATTTGGAATATTTGTGGCTTACACTGAAAGGGAGTAATAATTACAGTATGTAATTGATCTGTAGCTTTACATGAACACAGTGAGTGTGCTTAACTTTGAATATTATTGCTATGCTTGGTGAATTCGTGTTAACTTTATTATTTCATTTTAGGTGTTGAAGGGCGATATTAGACCTGCAATTGAAACTCATGAGATGCTTTATCAGGTTATAAAAAAGCATAACTTTCTTCCAGAGGTAAGGTGGTGGTTTTTTGATTGTGTGGACTGATTTTTACCTCAGTTTGAGCAGTCACATATATATGTTATTAAAATGAAAGGCTCATTTCCACAGCATTGTGATGTGATTTGCAGGTCTGCATATGTGACAGCTGTGTTCTGGATATGAAATATTTTTCCTTCAGTTCTGCTGTAATTAACACAATAATGGGAAGCTGCTGCTATTAACAATTGCTTAGACTTTATATTTCAGTCTTTCAAAATTGACCTTGACTCATTTCATTATGCAAAACTTGTATAATCACATTTAGTAGTAGCTGCTTAGCAATATAATAGTGTTAATGCTAAAGATCACAGTCATCTGTATTAAACCAAGGAGGGAACCCAAAGACTGAATTGTTCTGAGAGAACATTCTGAAATTTTGCATAATGTCCTTGAAAGTCAGTACACAAGACTTACTGCAGATGCTGCAAGTCTTTGAGCAAGTGAATTCTGCCCAGAAAAGCTTGTTTACCTGCTGAAATGTGTGTCTTTAAGCTGTGATGACCCAGAATGTATGAGAAGGCTTCTGACTCCAAGTTTAATTTTGACTTTTCTCTGGAGTAAGCTTATTTCTGCTAGAGAACATTTTAATTAACATCACATTCACCTAATGTGGTTATTGAGACCAAAGAATGCTCTCTAAGCATTGGAATGATTCTTTTTTTTTTTTTGAGTGCTTTTAAAATGGTATGATTCGACTCCTTGTGGGTTTTTTGGGTTGCTTTTTTGGTGTTTTATACTTATGAAGAAACCTTTGAAAGGTCACTTAGTTGTATTTAAGCCAATAGACCATCCCCTTTAGAAAAGACATAGTTTAAACCTTTGTATGAAGTAGTAAATGTATGACAGAAGTGGCTTTTCCATTGGGAAAGAGTGAATACACAGACTAGGAGATTTTTAGATACCTGACTTCTAGTCTGTGTCATTAATTTAGGGACAGCTGTTTAACCATCTGTCAGTTTGCAATTACACTTTAATGCACTGGATGTCAGGTGGTGGGAATGTTTGCAAAAATGGTATTTATCAAAGCTTGGCTGGTAGTACAGTTAACATTAAATTCAGAATAAACCCATGTTTGGTTTTTTCATTCTTGCATTTATTTCTGTCTGTCCTTTCTCATCCTCAGGCATTCACAACAGACTTCAGAGTTCACTGGGCTCAGCATCCTCTAAGGCCTGAATTTGCTGAAAGCACTTACTTCTTGTATAAGGTACAATCACGTTCAGTCCTCAGACTTTTGGTCACATTTTCTAGCACCTAGAATTTTGTTGCTCTTTTATTTCAATCCAGAATTGAGTAGCACATCTCCATCTTATTTGACCTCCTGGAGCCAGTTCTGTAGATAACCCGGATGAGATTGCTGATTATCAACAACTGTTCTAGGAGTTTTGTTTTACATCTCTAGCATTAGAAAGAAAACCAAGCGACAAAGAACCATTTTTAAAAGATACTTAGGTGTTGCTGATCTCTTTTGAAGAGATCCTAGAGACTAAGAGCAAAAGTCCTTTGTACTTCACAGAGAAGAAAGTGCTGATTGTACAGTAAGTGCACCTCTGTGCTTAGTTTTGGTTTTTGTTTGTTTTTCTTTTACAGGCTACGGGAGACCCTTACTATCTAGAAGTAGGAAAAACCCTCATTGAGAACTTGAACAAGTATGCCAGAGTTCCTTGTGGGTTTGCTGCAATGAAGGATGTCCGCACGGGAAGTCATGAAGACAGGTAAAAGTTTTCACCATTCTTTTCTTTGTATAAAGATACAGAAAAAAATCAAATTGCCCTGTTTATATAATTGAATTAATTGAATTTTGAGTAGCTGTCTGTCCTCAGTTTGATAGTCAAGTCTTAAATAACCCATTTGTCTTAGTCTGTAAACTGTTTCAATAGTTTTATAGTTTGTTCCATAAGAATAGTTTAACAATGGTTCATTTGTCTCAGAGCAATAGGTGAATTACCTTCAAACAAAATATACTTCAAATCTGTATGTTTGTAAGGAGATTTATTTGTTTTTTCTGTAATTCTCTTTTGTACTGAACATGCTGAATCATTGCCCTCCAAACAGAGTTTCTTCCAAGTGGAAGGAATTGTAATAGAATTATGCTCAGCAATAACAGTCATGAAGTCTTCAGAGTTGGAGCAGTAGGAGTATTTATTTTACTGATGTTTTAGAACAAAGGAGATTTCCCTAAAGGACATCCACTTTTTGTTTTCCATAGAATGGACTCGTTCTTTCTGGCTGAGATGTTTAAATACCTGTACCTGCTGTTTGCTGACAAGGAAGACATGATTTTCGACATAGAAGATTATATCTTCACTACAGAAGCTCATCTATTGCCACTTTGGCTCTCCACCACAAACCAAACCATCTCCAAAAAAAACACAGTATGTAACACCTCAAATCTAAATCAGTTTGTCGTGCTTTGAATCAGTTCCTTCAGTTTTCAATCATAATTTGAAGCAGTGCACCAGTTCCAACACATTTAATATGCAGTATTTCATCATATTAACAGTGCCAGTCACAGGAGTGTGAATAATGTGTCCATGACTGGATTCCACACTGCTGAACCTTGAGAAACTGTAATAGTAGCAAGATTTAACAAGAAAATAATTCCCCACCTCTCTCAATTAGAAAATAACACACTAGAATGTTTTTGTCTCCATATATCTCCAATAACATGCCCAAGTTTTTGTTGTCTGTTCTACTGCATGAACCTTTGGCATATTTTGAAAGGTTTTGTGAGACAGCTTCAAAGTTATTTTGTCGAGGTACAGCTATAATTTTTGATATATTTCATTGTTTTAATCCACATAATAGGCATCTACTGCATAAATGTGAGGCTGCTTATGGGTTTATAAATTACTTAACCTTCCAAAATAACCTGTAGCAATACAACTGTGCCATGAAGCATCATAAATACTCATCTTTTATGGTTTTGTGGTCAGTAAGGTGACATAATTTATCTTTAAAGCAACAGTACTAGTGGCAAGCAGAAGAAATGCATGAGGAAGTGGAGTGTGTGAGACATCAAGGACATAAATTCCCTTATTTGTGCCTCTATTTTTAACCTTTACTAAGGGTTTTACAGTAGTGCCTGGCTCAGAGGAAAAGGCTTATGTTGTGTCCTGGAGAAATCTTTACAGCTGAGGAGAAATCACCCTGTTTTATGCACTCTAGCATTAGACAGTGACAGATGTTTAATTACTTGATGTTAATTTCTAACATTGGTAATATATTTAATGCATTGAATGGGTCATGGGGTTGCTTTTTAATGTTCCTTGATGGTGGAGATCCCTCCCACACCCTCTCTGAAATGTTCTTTCCCTGAGAATTTTTTTATTTCCTTTTTTCTTGGAGTTTTGCAAACGGAGACTGTTTTTTACACTATGCCAGAAGTTTTCTGAGGGGTCTGAAGGAGCATTTTATATGACATTTGTTCCCAATATAAGAATTAGATACTTTTGAGACAGGCAGGATTCCCACAGCTGTCAAGGCTGACCTAACTTAGGTCATTCTCTTGAGAACCACAGATGTTAATATAAGGCCAATAGAGAAGGTAAATTGCTCAAATACAGTTTTCTTAAGCTCTTTAAGTCAAACTTGTTAATGGGCATAATACAAGTCAAAAAATCCATTGAAAATGGTATCAAAGGCTGTGATGTTGGGTGTGTTACTCTTATGGGATTTTGTGTGAATGAATGGAATGTGTAAATTATTTTTAACATAAACACACTGCTATGAAGGCAAACTGCATGTGAGATAGTTTGTAGCATGAACCCAACATCCTGTTTGTATTTCTTCTCATAAACAGGAAAGGTCATGTCTTACTATTCCTGTGAACTAGTAGCCCTTTAGGTCTTGGGTTTTAGGGAGCCTTTAAATACTTGATTTTTAATTGCAGACAAGAGGGGTGGTTTGTTTTTTTCAAATAGATAAATACTACATTAATTTTTACGGGTGAGAAAATGAACTTGCTGGTTATCCAACCAGTTAGTTGCAAAGCTAAGGACAGGCTAAATATGGCTCCAAACCACCAGCCACTTTCCACATGGTTTCACGTGTTACAAACCAGCAATTTGTGCAGATGTTAACTCTGTCAGCTTTCCTAAAAATAGAAATTCTTTGAATTATATATAGATTCAGACTTGCAAGCCTGTGTGGCTCCTGAGGAGGAGAATCTTTTGTTCATAGGAAAAGCTGTGAGAATTTTGGTAACACAAAGCAGGAGTGACCCAAGGCCTGCAGCTGGTCACTTGGTGGAAAGGCAATAGCAAATGACACCATAACTACTCCCTTTAGTTGTCCAGCACAGAAAAGTGCAGGGTCATGACCAGGCTTGAGAAGTAGTGTCTGCCAGCAGAGGATTAGCTGTTTCTGCAAAAAAAAAAAAATTGGAAACTGTGTATAAATTTATTAAATTACAAATCAGAATGGGTGTCGTATTTATCTATCCCCGATTCCCCTTTGTTGCACTCAGCTGCTGCGTGTCCTGAGCACACAGATCACTGTAATGAGGTTTATCTGTTCATTTGCTTGATATGAAACTGTAACCTGCGTTTTATTAACGTGTATCTCTCATTCTAGACCACAGAGTACACAGAGCTGGACGACAGCAACTTTGACTGGACCTGTCCCAACACCCAGATTCTTTTCCCGAATGACCCGATGTTTGCTCAGAGCATTCGTGAACCTCTGAAAAACGTGGTGGACAAGAGCTGTCCCAGGGGGATTTCCAGAGTGTAAGATGAACATTTTCTGTCTTTGTTTTTAGCACAGGAGTGAGTGGAATAGGATCTGTTAGGCATGGCAGGAGAAATATGAGGTGTACTGGATGTACTGCTCGAGCTTGCAGTCCTCTGGGAGTGGATTCCTAGTCACAGGAAAAATCAGTCGTGGTTTCTGTGGCACCATCAGCAAGACTCAGTTCATTTCCAGCAGGAATTAGCAAGTCTTTCTGAGCAAAAGGAGCTTAATGAGCCACATACCTGGGCTACAAATTCCCACTTGGAGTATTACAGGAAGTACACATCTCTCTGATTTTCTAAAATTAATTTCTATAGTCTCTTGAACAGTTCTGCAACTCTTCTTTGTAGTAAGCAAATCATGCTGCCATATATAACTACACCTGTTCTGAGGGATTTAGGACAGTGTTAAAGCTGAGGAAGTTTATCTTTCTAACCACCTCTTTTATTTTTATACTTCATGAGTAACACTGAGTAGCAACTGCGTGAGGGAAACTGGTTTTAGTCAGTCTTACAATAATGCAGACTAATTAGAAATGAGAGCAAGCATATGGCAGTTTTGTTATCAATGTTGGGGGGGTGTTTTGCACTATAAAATTACTGATAATATTGACAACTTTTTTCAAAAGGATATCTTGATTGAGAAGTTGCATTCTACTGAAGCTTGTACTCAGTGTTACTGCAAAGAATTCTAACCTTGTGGTGGTGGGGATAATGTGAGAGTTCTGTTTCAAGAATAACCCAGTTTTTAAAGCTTTGATCTCTAATATCTTTTGGCAGAGAAGAGAGTTTGGGAAGTGGACCAAAACCACCGTTGAGAGCCAGAGATTTCATGGCCAGTAATCCTGAGCACTTGGAGATACTGAAGAAGATGGGAGTCAGTTTGATCCATCTGAAAGATGGACGGGTGCAATTAGTGCAGCATGCAGTGCAAGTAAGGCCTGACAGGGTATATTCTTTTTCCAGAAATTTCAGCAAAATCCTACTAGCAATGATATTTGACACTTGGAGCTTGAGGAGGGACAGCCAGACTCTGGAAGGAGGCACATGAGCTGGAAATGCAGCTATATTTAGCAGGCTGATGCTTGTTAATATTTTACCTCAGCAAGACTTTTAACTGATCTTGCATTAAATGAGATGGAGGGTGTTCATGTTAAAGTGATGTAGCTCACAACATCTTATCTGAAAACACTGCTTTCAGTGTGAGATACTTCCATTTCCTTAGGAGGTCTGTGTATTTGTATATTTTCAGTCTTCTGGGCAGTTCAGGTCCTAAAAAACCTGATTTGAAATGATGAATGAGTGGCAACGAGCATCCACTCTGTATTTGAAAATCTTTGTAGCAAACATAACTTGCATTTCTTTTCCCCCAAGTTTCTCAGACATTTAAGATAAAAGTGATTATTGGTTCTTTCCTCTGCAGGCAGCAAGTTCCCTGGATGCTGAGGATGGCTTACGGTTCATGCAGGAGATGATTGAACTCTCCAGTCAGCAGCAGAAAGAGCAGCAGCTCCCTCCTCGTGCTGTTCAGATTGTTTCCCATCCCTTCTTTGGCAGGGTGGTCTTGACTGCTGGGCCAGCACAATTTGGGATGGACTTATCCAAACACAAAGCAGGGGTGTGTGTGTGAGATCTGTCCCTCGCTTTCTCTTCCTTTCCTTACTGCAAAAGCCTTAATTTTACTGTCCTGGCAGTATTTCAGGGCAGCCAGGTGGAGGGGGATCAATTAATTACAGTTGTTAAAATGACAGGGCCCAGCAGTGACAGAATGACAGCAGTGACAGTCATTTAGATGAGTGGCTTATCACTGTGCTCTGCTCCTGAGTCATCAGCCATGGTTTAGGATTTAAAATACATACACAGGATGATTTTTGAAACAAATTTATCCAACCTGCAGCATGGCATGGCTAAAGAGATGTTGATTTAAAGGAAGGTTTTCCTCCCATGTCAGCCATGAGTTGCAGAAGCCCTTTTAGAGCTAAAATAAGCTGTTCTTATGCAAGCTTTTCTAAAAGGAAGAAGAAAACACCACAGAAGCAATGTTCCCTTTTGGAAGCAGTAGGAAACCCCCATGGCTTCAGTTGGGCAATTTGCAGCCCCAAAGAGATGTTTTCCAGACTAGCAGTTCACAAAAGAAAAACTTCCAGAGTCAACAGTTCACCAGTGTAGACAAAATACTCTGAATATGAGAATTGGGTTTTCAACCAGGCATTCTTTGGTTCTCAGAACTCCAGTTTCAGGGTACAGATTGCCTGCACTGACAGAAGACAACACTAAATGCATTAGATTAAGTGAAGAAACAAAAATATGTGGGAATCTTTTACAAGCTTGAACCTGCTGCTTTAATTCTCTCTTTATTTTTGTTTTTTCCAAACAGACAAGAGGATTTGTTGCAACCATTAAGCCATATAATGGATGCTCAGAGATCACTAATCCTGAGGCAGTGAAAGAGAAAATTGCTCTGATGCAGAGAGGCCAATGTATGTTTGCTGAAAAAGCACGAAACATTCAGAAAGCTGGAGCCATAGGAGGCATTGTTATTGGTAAATAAAATTCTAAGTTCTTCATTTGTGCGAGTTTAACCTAATTGTACAGATTTGAAGATGCAGGAAAGCTGACAAGCTGTTAGGCTGAGATGCCAGCACAGAAACTGTGCTTTCAGAGGATGAAGAGACGTTTTGGGTTTGGCTCTGTGCAGAAAGTGCAGCAAAACAAACTGGGATGGGGGATTGTCACTGTCTCTGCAGATTAAAAGTTGCTATTTTAAGGATCACAGAGTGCTGTCAGTACTAACTGCTGAGGAAAAATGGGGATACAAATGAAAATCAAGAAGGAAAACAAGTACCCAAGTTGGAGTTTTGCTTTTCCCAGTGAATGTTGTGCCTGGGACTCTCTGGGCAGGGAAGGCAGCTCCCAGTGTGCCAGAGCTCAGAGCTGCAGTTTGATCTAACAGGAAGTTTGCCTTTCCTTTTGTGTGCCCTGCCTAGATGACAATGAGGGCAGCAGCAGTGACACAGCTCCTCTCTTCCAAATGGCTGGGGATGGAAAGAATACAGATGATATCACAATTCCCATGCTCTTCCTCTTCAACAAGGAAGGAAACATTATCCTGGATGCAATCCGGGAGTACGAGGCTGTGGAGGTGCTCCTGTCTGATAAAGCAAAAGACAGAGGTAAGGTTGGAGGGCATTTCTGTAAATGCAGCTTCCATCTGTGCTGTGGCACAGTGCAAAATGTACAATAATAATTTGTGCTGCTGCCCAAAGGTGCCATAGTTTTGTGTGACATTGGAATGAGTTCTTTATTAGGAAAGCCCTTATCTGAGATGTATCCTTGCCCTTTCCCCCTACAAGTTAACATCCAGAAATGCTGTTCCTAAGTTAAATGTCACTTTGACTAATGAGAAAAACACAGCCTTTTGGATTCCTTTTGAGCCCTTTTTGTCATCATGTGCTTTGAAGTAGCATCAGGAACAGTCTAAGTGTTTTCAGTGCCCTACATTGACAATGCCCCTCCCTTACCAAACTCCCCAGTGACATTCCTGGTACCCAAAAGGAGAGAGACAAGTGTTAGAACTATTTTGCCTGTCTAAGGAGAAGTGGTTATCATGAGACATGAGGCTGCTGACCTCAGATGTTTCCTGGGTTTTCTTGTGTAATACAAGAAAATTGCAAGCTAATACATTCCCAGTTGAAATGTTTGAATAGGGCAGAAAATTCCAGATTTTCCTCTTGTAAGCCTTCCTCATAGGACTGCTGTGTCCAAGCAGAGTGGGTAAGAAAAGTTTCTCTAGAAAATCAGTGACAGCATTTATCTTGTGCACCCTTGCAAAGGTGATATGCTCCAATCTAGTGTTGTTTCTTCCTAGCTTAGAAATCCCTTCTGTTCGTAACTGTGCTTAAGTGCTCTAACAAAATGCTCAAAACAAGATAGCTCTGCCTTTGAGAATTTGTAATCCATATCTGCTTCTTCCCCCCCCCCTCGTGCTTCCCTTTGGAATCCCAGCAACAATCTTTAAAGGTAAAATGATTCCAAACTACATTATTGATAGCAGTAAGTATCCCATGTCAAAACTGGCATGTGCAGTTAAATTCCCTACAGGTCCTGAAATATCAGTGTCCTGTATTCTGGCCATAATGATCAAACTCCAGAGAAATCTGCATCATGGTTAAACTGGGCAGCTGTTGGAGAGCTAGACTGGGACTGGGGATACATGCTGGTAGTTTGAGTGGGGTGTGAGGGGGGAGGCTCAGCCCTTGACTCTCTTAAAATCACAGTTCAGTAAACTTATAAAACTGTCCAGCTGTCCCTTGCTCAGATGTGGGATCCTGGTGGATCTGGGAGTGCTTTAAAATCCAGTATTACAGTTCAGTGCACGCAGTGGGTATTTGCTAAGACTGAAGGAGGGTAACTAGCACTGACATTTCACTTCTGACATTTGAGGAACCAAAACAAGCCTCACTGCATTGTTTGCCATCATTTAAAATGTGTTTAAAAGTCTTCCCTCCCCTCTCTTTGTAAAAAAATGGTCCTTAGTAACATCAAATTTTCATATCACTGGAAAGTCTGCACTTTCTTGAAGAAATAAGGCCAAGGGAAGTGACCTTGCTTTTTTGAAATACATAATAAAATGCTGCATTCCTACGGTTCTTTTAACTCTTTTTTTCTTTTTTTTTTCTTCCCTCTCAAAGACTTGGAAATGGAGAATATGGACCAGAAATTAACTGAAAACGATTCACATAAGCAGAATGCAGAGGAAGCTGCTTCAGGATCTCAGGATGTTGGTGCAGCCAGTGAGGAGCCCGAGGAAGGAGGAGAGAGCTCAGATGTTGCTGACCCTGGTTCTTTATCTCCTGCTAACGCAGACAGTGCCAGTGTTCCCATTTCACATCAGGATTCCTACGTCCCTGGGACCGAGGAGGCCGGTGCTCCAGAGCCAGCATGTACATCAGGGGATAACCAGCCTCAGGAACAACAGACTGAGACAGAGTCAAATTCCAAAGTTAACTGGGATAATAAAGTCACACCTATGGAATCCATATTAGCAGACTGGAATGAAGATATAGAAGCATTTGAAATGATGGAAAAGGATGAGCTATGACTTGTAATAGTAACTTATTTGTTAATAAACAAATGGAGACCTCTTTGGGTAGGAGTGAGGCCCTGATATCCAAGCAAACATATTCAGTATTGTGATGAGCAGCCAGGTGTTTCCTGGGGAACACCACAGAGACCCCACACGTGCTTTGTATCTTTTAATTCCTCCTGGTTCAAAATGGGAGCGTGCAATCCAAGCCTTGGTGTGGCCCCACGGCTGGGGCTGGAGCCCAGGCAGGGAAGGAGCCCCATTCCTGCCTTCCAGGCTCCGGGAGGACACGCTCCCCTGGGCCCTGGGAAGCAGAAGCTGAGCAGGGGGGTGACAAACCAGCACCGGTTATTGACGGCGGCACTGGGAGCTCCCCCGGTGTCCTGCTGGACCCTTCCCCAGCTGGAATCCTGGGCAACAGCAGCAGGGGAAATGGTTCCCAGTTGTCGTGTCTTTAAGGCAGAGCTGGGAGCAGTGTGGTTTTGTCCTGACATATCAGACCCAGCAGTGTTGCTCATCACCCCATCCCACGATGCCGTGGGAGCTTTCCCTCCTGCTCCCATCCAAACCAAAGGCACTGTGTGAGCAGGTTCCACCAGGAACACTGAGCCAGCCGTGGGGCCCACCAGGAAAAGGTGAGGGAAGGTCATGCTTGAGGCTGAGGTAAAGTGGACAAGGCAGGTGTTGAGTCCCAGGTATTTCCTTTGGCCTCCCAGGTTGAAAGACTCCAGTCTGCCCTGAGATACAGAATTGAAATGGAGAGGACACAGAGCTACATCAGCTGTAACAAATCCTTCCTTTTTCTACAAGTTTGACTTCTAACAGCTTGACTTTGTTGTCGTTCTTTTTATATGCAACTTCTGTATGTGTGATATTTAAGGCAGGGAGGCCAATGCCAGTAGGGAAGTGCAACAGTTTGGGCTGTTGGGTCGATAGTTCAGAGCCCAGGGATGTTACTCTGGGCTCTGGAGTTTGTTACAGGTAAGTGTGAGTCCTAATTTGTTATCCCCATTGTGAAAAACTATTTAAATAAAAATGGGGAAGTTTAAACAACGTAGAGACATTTTGACTGTGTCCAAAGAAACTGCCAAAAACTAATTAACTTGATTTATATAAACTGCTTTTAGTGAATTGTGGTTTAAGGAATTGTTTTATATTAAAGATTAAATGAACACTGCCTATATGCTGCACCAGGCTAAAAATGAAGGGTTACATTTGTGGTTACGATGGAATAAACAGAAAAGAAAGCCCCACTCTGAACTGCACCTTTGATTTAGCTGGTGAAATTATATGTGCTGAATATGCAACTGTTAATTAGCACAGCCATACTGTATGTATTTATACTCCTGTACAGTGAGCAGAGCAATCCCAGGCAATGTTGTATCCATGTATCCAAGCCACACTTGCTTTCAAGAGTCTCACAATGCACAGGCACCTTCTGAGAGCATGGCAGTCCATCCAGGGACATCCATAACTTCACGTCTCTAGGGTAGGAGGGAGCTGAGGAAGATGAGTGAAAAAGTGTCCTTTGAAATTTTAAATGTAGTTCTAATTCCTTTGCACAAATAACTGGAGGTTTGGACTGGAGAGCAGGGCTTAAAGCAGCTGGGGTTTTCAGTTGGGAATGTTTTTATTTATGCTTTTAGTTACACGAGTTTCTTCACGTGAAGCATTTGACCATGGGAGCCTTGTAAGTGTCCTTGGTTCCCTGGAGCCCTGGAAGTGCCCGGGCTTGAAGGGACCTGACCAGGACCAAACCCTTCAGGGTGCAGATCAAACGTTTTCCCTCGGATAATTCCTTTGATCTGTCAGTGCTCAGTGCCACAAAGGAGCATTTCTGTTCCCATGCTCTTTGACATGGACATCATCTTCATTCTTGTAGCTCTTTTGGTGACAATAGTTATTTTTATATCTCAGAGGCCTCTGGTCGTTACTGTGTCAATACAGCAGCTCAAGCTTTTCTTTTTTTACTTGCAGATTTAGGTGTAGTGTCAAATTTTATGAAAACATTAACTTCCTTTGCCATCACCAGCTCCTTTTTATTTAACTGCTTTCTCTGCACCTATTGCTAAAGCAGCAGATGTTACCTTGTAAGGGATTTCCAGTGATCCCAGAACTCCGGGTGGATTTGACGCAGCGTTTTGGTGGTGGCCTACCTCAGATAACTGTTGCCTCCTTCCTTTGGGTTGGTGTTTTTCTTGTTTCAGTTAGTTCTACTTTCCCTTTGAAACCATCATGAGAGCCATAGCTTTGTTTACAGAACTGAATCAGGGAAGGTTGACCTTTTGGGAAAGAGGATTAAATTGGGGAAGAGTTTTATTCAGGTTATTTTCACTTTGTATTTCCTTACGAGGACATAGGCTTTAGTTTAACCTGTTCATATCAGCCTGGAAATAAGTCAGTTTTCTGTTACTGTCATCTTAAAAAGCAAAAAGAATGTATTTATCAAAAAAAAAAAACCCTTTTGGAGAAAGGAGTGAGTGTTCTTCCCAAATTCTTGGAAGGCTGCTCCCTTCGTAAGGAATGTTGCTCGTACATTAATCAGTAACTGCCCTTCCTTGTGTATAGCATTGTACATTTACTTGTATGGGATTGAACACTGAAGAATTCAGGAATCACAGCTGAAACTAGCACTTATTCCATGCCATGTAATTCAGATCAGCCAATTAATTTCTTATTTGATCTTAAAGGAATCTTAATTGTTTACATTTATTGTTTCTTAATGAAGTTTCAGAATGAGCCCAGCTTTGGTTCTCCTCCTCCTGCCAGTGTACCTGAACAGACACCAGTAAGGGTGTGTTGAGAGGCTGAAAACAGGACATCTTATGCAACAGGCATCAGTCAGAACATAGAAAACAAACCATTCTGTGAATGAAATATTGTATGTTCAGATTTTATAAGATTTCAGTTTCATTTTTTTAGCCAGCCCAATTTACAGCCGTATATTTTCTTATGAAAGATGTCTAATAACAGGTGCTGTAACACTATTGTTGGGTTTTACTCTCTGGTGATATGTGTATACAATATTTCTAAGGGCAACTATGTACTGTGATGTAAAAGTCTGGGCTAAAATGTATATAATCCGTGTACATAATTGTGTACTTGATTATAACTGCTGATTGTAAAGATTTAATAAAATGTAAATATTCTGGTCAAGCTGTGCTGAACTGGTGCTCCTTTCTGACTTGCTGGGATTCTTTTGGGAGTCACAGGGGAACTCCCACGGCTTCACTGGCAGCCTTGGTGAGGGCATGGAGCAGGTTCTGTGGCTGCCACCCTGGAGAGGCCTCCAGTTTTTCTCTGGGAGGTTGCCCAAATCCAGAGGTATTCTCTGTTACCTTTTCAGCCTAAAATTGCAAGTAGACAGGAAAAGCTCTCGGCAACCTGAGCTAATTGTACTATTTCAACATCTCTGTGACTTGGGCATTATTATTTTATTTTTTCAATCCAGAATACACATCCACAAAAAGTTCATTTTACTGCTCCTGTTTTCATTAGAATTGAAAAAAACCCCAGGTAAGTCTTGGAGAAAGGTACTCCATCGTCCTTGCTCTGTTATCAGCTGTCCTCCAACACCTCTGCTCCTATGAGCTCTTCCTCCATGGAAGTTAGGATTAAGAAAGTTAATTAGGATAATTAAATTAGGATTAAGAAAATCAGGATTAAGATGCAGGACCCCTAAATTCAAGAACTGGTTATTGCTGAGCAGCGTTGATGATATTAAGTAAAATCATTGCCAGCCTTGCTGCTTTTATCTCTCCATGTCCATCTCTGCCACCTTGCCAGCCATGATCCCAAGGTGCTGTTTGAAACAAGGAGGAGTCACCCTCCCACTGCAGGTGGCCTCTGAAAAGGCAAAAATACAACACAAGATTAACATCTAGGATGTGCCTGCCCCTCTCTGTATTTCTTCTATAACAAGAAATCAGGACTATTTGGGTATTTATTTCTGGGCCTGAACAGATTCCTGATCCTCCCCTGGAACACTCTCATGAATGCCTGGGGGGTAAGGGAGGCGTGGTGGCATCAAGTCATCACCCCTCCTATTAAAATTATATTTATTAATTTATTCCACTAATTCTATCGATGGCCTGTTACTCAATTACCACATTTCCACTTCCTAGTCAGGTCACCTGAAGGACTTCAGCAGCTCTGACTGAAATTCAGCCTCAGCTGCTGCTCATCCCATCCTTCAGGTCAACCCAAAGCTGCTGGTGGCAGGAGTCCCGTTTTCTTCCAAAGTGCTACATAAAAAGGTGATGTTAATAAATGTTTCCAGCTGGAATGGGGCCTATAAAACATGTTTGCCTGGGAAAGTTCACCCAAGCTGTGAAGCTCCAGCATGGGCAAATTCATCTTTATTAACCCTTTGGTGGAGAGCACAGTGTGATGTCACAGCACCAGGGCTGGCCCACTGCAGAGGCATTCAGGCCAAAATTGTGCCAAAAAAGCCTGTGTGGTGCTCCCTGGTACCCACAAGTGTTTTCTGGGGAGCAGCGGGACCACCTCGGGATGGTTCGGGCGCTCCACCGGCTGCCACACCAGGACAGACCTGGTGGCAGCAGTGCAGGGCAGAGAGTGAGAAAACACCCAGAAAAACAGTTTCATCCTTAAAAACCCACCCAAACCCTACCCCAGTGTTTCCCTGCCCTCACCCCCTTCGCCAGCGACACTGAGATGGGAAGGAGTCGCTGGGTTTTGGGCACAGGCCTTGACCCAGGGGATGCTTGGAGGTTTGAGCTGGGACACACAGAGCAGGAGCGTGGATGAGAGGAATTCTGAGCTGGCTCTGCTGAATTTGATGCATTTTAGGCTTTCCCTACAGACCTCTTCTCCTGGCAGGCAGGTAGTTGATTGTTAGAGACATGGTTTTATCCTCCCCTCTGCAGCAAAAGCCGCTCCCCCATCCCTGCTCGGGCCCAGCGCTCCTCACAGGTGAGGAAAATCAGCAAAGGCGGCTTTAAAAAGGCACAAGGCGGAAAAATCCAGGGAAAAGCTGTGCAGGTGAGGGCATTTCCACCACGTGCCGGCTCTCAGGGCTGCTTTATGTAACTGAGCACGTGGCTTCCCACGTTTATTTTTGGGCCTGCCACGGGTGAGCTGATTGCCAGGCCCTGAGCATCGCCCTGCAATGATGTCAATCTTCACCGTGCTGGCATTACAGCATCATAAAAAATTACAGAGCTGCTATTTCGGGTAGCAGCTCTCTCCGACTCAGTGAATAAATGCAGCTCCATCTGACTCACTCCGGGGGATTATTAATAGACACAAAAGCAGAATGCCAAACCCCCAGGAATATCGCTCGGTTCCCACACGGAGCTTTCTAGTTTCTTGCAGCAATTGCTCTCGAGAACTTTTTGTCTTAAAATGTGACTTTTTTCTTAATATGTGTATTAAAAAAAAATTAAATATATGCAGGAGGAGCAAATCTTCTCTTCAACTCACCTCTGGGAGGTTTGAGGGGGGAAGTTCTGCAAGGATGGAGGGTGGTTGCTCCAGCTCCGGGCGGGCGGTGCCCGATCCAGCCCAGCATCACACACCCATCCGAGGCAACACCTCCTGCTGACAGAGTCTTAGGGTGAGGCTGCTGCTGGTAACAAAGCTGGGAATAAAAGCTCAGGTCTCCTGACTGAAATAGAAAGCACCCAGGATGGCAGAGCAGTGGGGAGGGAGTCATTCCGAGAGGGAAGGAATCACAGGCTTCTCCTTTTGCTGCCGTGGGTGCAGGGAATAGGTGTCCATGAGGCTGCTCTTACAGCTGGCTTTTATGAAGGAGGTTCACAGTCCCACACATGTTGATGATGATGAAGAAGCAGCAGAAGAAGATGATGAGCATGATGAAGAGGATGATGATGATGGCTCTGCCACCTTCAAGCTCAAAGTGAGCGTTTACCTGGATGTCGTGGGTAGAGATGTGCAGCTAAATTAAAAGAAAAAAATATTTTTTTTTCTTAAAAAGCAAAGACATGAAGGTTTTTGAATTCTACCAATGCTCCCATCTTGCAGTTCCCCTGAGCTGGGGCTTCTTTCCCTTTGCCCCAAAAGCACAGTAACAATAATAGGAATTTTCACTTGGCGCTTACTCAGTTTTCTGGATGTTGGACTTGAAGGCTTCCTTCCCAACAGTAAAGCAAATGATGTGCCCCTCCAAAACCATCCCTGCATTCCTTGTCTCCTCTTCCCCAAACACCTACAGAATTAAACTCCATAGAGAAACATTTCAGCATGAAAAAGCAGAGTTTCCCAGCAGGGTCTTCTGATGTTCAACTCTCCCAAAAGCATCCTCCATAAAACCACGTTGGTAGGAAGTTCCATAAATTTGTGCTTTCTCAGTGAACACCATAAACATTGTCAGTGCCACACACTGCACGTGGTTGCAGACAAAGCTTTTGATTATCCTGGGGTGCAAGTGGGGTTATCTCCCCCTGGGCTGTGGCTGTCTCTGACAGGTAAAAGCTTTGGCACACGAGATACTCATTGCTCAGACACCCCAACACCCCACACAGCACCTGAGCTGGGGCACTTGTTTCAGTCATAGAAACCCAGAGTGGTTTGGGTTGGAAGGGACCTTAAAGCTCATCTGGTTCCACCCCCTGCCATGGGCAGGGACACCTTCCACTAGCCCAGGTTGCCCCAAGCCCCGTCCAACCTGGCCTTGGACACTTCCAGGGATGAGGCAGCCACAGCTTCTCTGGGCAACCTGTGCCAGTGTCCCACCCCTGGGGACACCTCATGGTGTCAGGGACTGTCACCTGTGAAGCAGCAGCGTTGATCAAGGCTGTTGATGGGACAGCAGTGCCAACAGCAACTGGAAATCTTGTTAAAAGCTCACATTAAGTTCATTCCTTGGTAGACACACACATACCCGGCTGGAAGCCTCTCCTGTCCTGAAGGTCTGACGGGTCAGCCAAGCCAATCTGGAGTTGAGTGATTGCTAATTCCAAAGTGGGAGTGACAGGAAACTATTGTTTTACAGACCTGATAAAACTGAAACAGCTGACAACTGAGTATTTCTCTTCAGCCCAGTTCTCATACGGTGCCGGCGATGTCTCCAGAGTTCCAACACGTCTCCTGGTGCTTCATCAGCCCCTTTGCTCTTGTGTCATCATTCAGATTTTAAAATACTTGCTGTGCTCCGTGGCCACTCTTATGGCCAGTCCTGCATGTTCTTTACAGCAACAAAAAGGCACACTGCAAAAAACCCATGGGATGCTGCTGATCCCTGGCTCCTTTCTATTCCAGACGCGGCCACCGTGTCCCGTGGCAGCACCGAGCACAACTCCAGCTGCAGAGGAGGGACGCGGGGACGGTGGGATGAGGCTGTTCCCGGGGTGAGGATCTCACCTGTCTGAAAACATCGCAGCAGTAAGTCAACCCCGGGCTCTGTGGCGGGGGAGGAGACAGAGCTGGGTCTTCTGGCAGTGAGACTTAATTCAAAAAACCCAAACTTCTGACTGAAAGCAAAGGAAGAAATTAATGTTAATTGGGGGTGGAAGAGTTTGGGAGGGGGCACAGGTGAAGTGGAACTCACAATAAATAAAACAAATAAAGGCATCATCGTTTTAGGTCAGAGCTCATGGATAAAGCATGGCACAGGGCTGGATCTGGGGATGGTCACAGCCGCTTGGGCAACTCTTCCAGCTCCCCAGTTCCTCTCCTAACGCACGGGGCAGGCTCTGAGGGGAAAATCCAACACTGCTCTATGGGGTTTGCACAAAGCAAAAAGCAGAGCAAGGGAGGAAGGCTGATTGCAAAACCCCTTCAACCACAATTTCCTCCAAGATCCCAGAATCCGGCTTGGAGCTTAAACAGTGAGTCAGCCTCCTAAAGTGAAGTTTGGGCCCTAAATCACTTGATATTTCTTTTAAAGGAAACCTTGAAATCCCATTTAAACTAAGCACATCATATCAGATATAAGCAGTTTTCCTTCTCTTCCCACCCTCCTCTTTCCCACCCTGCTGAATATATTTGAGCAGACTAAAGCAATGTGGAGGCAGGGCTGCAAGGAGAGGTGCATTTTAAGCCCCAGTAAACTACTTATATTATTAGAGATCCTCAGCCATTGTACATATTTAGACTTCTAACAAAATTTGCCAGGATTTTGCAAAGGTGGGAGAATTAAAGCAGGTTCAAAAGCGACATTCATTTGAGCACTA